ATTAGGAATGCAATATGAATATTATTTGGTAAAATTCAACTTAGTATGTTTGTTAAAAACAAAGTCAATGGTAAATGAAATAAAAGTAATTTCTGACCTTATTTTGAAAGGTAAACGTATATGTATGAACGTCTATGAAGGAATACTCTTGAATGAATGTAATATGCTAGACAAGAATCAAGCTTGTTAGTCATGAGTTGGTTTTCTCAGTGTTTAAAGAGTACTCAAAATCTTCTATTCTGCAACTATCTACAGTTTATATGACATTTATAATAAATTTGGTTGTTTTACTAAGAAAATCCTCAATCTATTGGTAACATAATGGTTTTTCAGATCATTTATTTGAGATTTTGAGTTAGCAACTCATTAAGTTTTCCTCTTACAGTCTGCCTTGATATAGTAGACTTAAATGCATGATACAAAACCTTATGAAAACGTCTAACTGAAAGATAAATAAGAAATATATAAATGAAGCCAAAGTTAAAAACTGTTTTGAAAATAAGCATTTTTTGCAATGGGGTATTTGGTGTTTTTACTTATTTACTTACGAGAATGAAAATTCATAGTGGCACTTTTACAAATCACAAAAAGAAATTTACGGATTTGTTGACTTAGTATCCATTGTACTGGTGCATTTGTTCTCTATTCAGTATACCACCCACATAGATTCCAATGAACTTAATCGGAAATAAATGATGAAAACATCATTCAAATGGATGGATTTTACTCTTAACGTTTATTATATACCCATACAATTAGCCAATTAAAACTAATCTTAGCCCAAAAGGCAACAACGACTGAATATTATTAACTTATCAAGACTGCCAAGTAATTCAAAGCTTCAGTGTTGAAATATCTTCAATGAAATATAAATCTTACTTTATTTATGTGCTTCTAAATATCAACTTTGATTCATCAATAACAATGGGGACTAGCATACTGGTTACTATGCCTGGTATCCCCTGTTCTGTATTGTGATGGGATGCAGACATTTAGTATATATAACAACCTATTGGCTAGGGGCACAATGAAAAGAAAACTACGTGACTTCTGACAATATTACGTGACTGAAAATTTATGATACTTATAGTGCTGCTTAATGTTATTTAACACTGTGTACAAATAGTAGGACATAATTTAAACCAGAACAAAATTATAATTAGTTATGTTCTTATCTGAATTGCTTTCTCTGTTAGATTACGTTGTTTATACTCTTTCCTTACTTTTATTTATTTTATTTCTGTGGTGTATGTTTCAGTATAGCATTATATCAAAGTTCGGTGCTTAAACATAACAATAATGACAAGAATATATAAATTCTATTATAATAAATTACTCAAGTGATGACTGATTTCATTCATTTTATTTGTTTGGATCTTTATCAAAATCTAAATTCTTAGAATGAATGAATTAAGTGATAAATAATATTGGATGACATTTAAATCAATTCAAAGATGAAATAAATCAAATATAGATTCAATTCTTATCCAATACTTCCATGTTTCCCATAGTGATCTAACTTCAATTAATTCATGATGTCAACTATTGGGAAATGATTTTAATCCATAGTTGTTATACATGATAGTAATCTTAATATAGTTATAAAATGATTTTGTTATGTATTTATAATTGAAAGAAGACGAACCTAATTGTAATCATAGACAAATTATTATATTATCATAACTAGATGATTAATTCATGAATGATCCAACGTCAAAATTGTTTTGTTTATTACATAATCATAATCCTATAATTCAAATGAATGAAACTTAACGTTTATCATTTGACTAAATGACATTTTTACATTCCGATAGAAAATAATCCCCAACAAAACAAATGGCTCCAAAAACTGATTAATTGTAGAAAATGTTTTGATTATAAAAATAAAAAATGTTTATCTTTAATATTGTAATTAACCTTTTGAAATTGAAAATTACTATGAACATAATGGAGGTTACATGGAAAAAGAATGATGATAATAATAAAGGAAAGGAGTGAAAAGTAATAGTCATGATTAATAAGGATTCTTCACGTTTGAATGGTTTTCACAATGAACTAATGTAAATATAGAAAGTAATAAAAAAAGAAAGAAGAAAAGAAAAGGAGAAAAACATCATTCATTTGAAAGGAAATAATGTGAATAGTGATTTATTTTCTTATATAGTCACATAGATATGAGAAATGATGTTCATAGATTAAATTACAATCTCTATTGAATAGTTTATGGATTAGATGTTTAGATAAAATTGTAGTATCTAATCATCAGTTAGTATTTGTTTTATTTATTTATAAGATTAAGAGAAAGTTTACAATATGAACTTAAGTACAAATCTACAGTAGTTCATAGGGAATCTAATGTGATCACTAGTTTATGCATGGTTTCAGGAAATTTAAGTATAAAGATATCAGAGATAAGTAAATAATAATACTGTGTAGTTAATAACCCTATTCTACTCTGAAATACTTAGTTCAACCTCATAGGACACTGATTATAAAGCTTGGTATTTCTTAATTACTTGAAATGTTATACTTTGAAAATATATGAAAATACTAAGAATTTTGACATTTCCTAAATACTGTGATCTATCCTGTTCCTGCTAAATGAACATCACTTTCAATAACTTAACGCAAAACAATTTGTTTAGACATGAGGGGGGGTGGTTGAAGTTATAAGTAGGAAAATAATTTTTTTTTAAACAACACTTTACAATCGGTTGGTATATAAATAATCAAATTTTAACTAGCAAGTCGCAAATAAGAAGAAACTTTCAACTTGAATTCCAGTTGTACCTTCAGTTCAATAAATAATTTTATTCAGTGAAATGTATCTTGCAATTAGCTTACTGGAAAACGTGTTAAAACTCTGTCATATTGAAATAGACTAATCAAGCAGCTTAGATAATGACAATAATAAAAAATAATTGTTGGGAACTTTTTGATTGCTTTTAATATTGGATATCCTTTTTTAGTAGCATAGTTATATGAATCACTGATATAAGTAAATAATCAAACTGTACTTTAAACACCTTGACTACTACTACTACTACTACTACTACAGATCAAAGAATATAATATGTAGATGTACTCAGAAATGCAAAATATAATTTTCAACTATATGAAATAAGATTATTTTAAGATATATTTTTAAATATCTAAAATATTCATTATTTTATTCTTTATCATATTATTGGAATGTTGATCTTCATGTCAAAATACATGTAGTTTTGGTTTATTCTTATAGATTATGGTATTATGATAAATGGCGATTATCCATTCATGTATTAGCACAAAGGCATTTTACTGATATTAAACTGAACTTTTAAAGTTTAACATTAAAAAACAAAAACACACATACACCACTATAAATTTATTATTTAATCCAACGAATATAATTTTGTAACATGAATGTCCATCTATACATACATTTTTTTTTGGTTTTTGTTATCCCCCTAAACATGTTATCATCTGAATTAGATTTATGTTCATTGTTTAACCAATCGTAAAGTAACACGCTTGGTCAAATGCATTTAACGTTGAAAAATATGAACACTATTACTTATTGTGCCCAACACATAACATCACCTAATTGTATTTCATAAGTGTGCAGACAGATAATGTAGAATAATATATGTGTATATGTATTATTCGCAAAATACCATTGAAATAATAAATTGAAATCTATGCGCATATATATTTACTTACCCCTTTTGTTCAACTAATGATCCTGTTACCTATTATAGGTATATATAGAACTACACAAACACATAAATGCATACTTACACCATATCATAAACTACAGTTCAAGATGTCTGGACAACTAAACATTTATTAAAACATTTGGAAACATTATTCATATTCGGTGAAAAATGCGATAAAAATAACATATTACCCTATCATCTATTAAAGCCCATAGATTGTATAACATTTTACAAGAATGAATATCATTATGCTACTAATATATATAGATATATACACACACATAGGTGATAAAATTTACAGTGGCAGTAGAAGTGAATGTTGTAGACAAATCAACACACATAACAACGCATTCTTATGTATACTATGAAATAAATTCTAAAATATAAATTGTGTTTCTTTGGCACAAAAATGAAAGTGATTCTTAAGTAGTATAAGAAATATATTAGAAAGAAAATAACTCATAGTATTTGATTCATTTTATTACTGCTTATCTACCTATACTTCATTTCATCTTTTTCTCTTATTCATATACATTTAAATGTGTACATAAATCCATACAAAGAATCTCAATTGTATATTTCCTAACTAAAGTGATAGGGATGTATACATACGATACATAAAAATTAACATTCCATTAACCTGGAATCGAAGTCTAATTCTTCAGTTATAAGTATATAGAAAAAGTGTCTCACTAAAGAAAACAAATATAGAAAAAAAAAGCCAACTGCTATACAGTAACAGTAGACAAAATTAGTCTACACTTATACAAAATGTAATGTATGTACATGTTTGTTTTTTTCTAATGTGTGAATGTTTTGTGCATAAAATTCATTTATTTATCTAGAAAACAAAAGAATCTTCATATTACTATGATAATGTCTATCATCTTGTAACAATTACACTAACTAGTCAGTATGCTTATCAAATACATATACTACTACTATTAATACTACTACTAACAACATTATTAAAGATATAATGTCAGTCATACTTATATATATACACGTTTGATCATTTAAATGTTGACATATTGTTGACCTATATGAATTTCATAATAAAGAAACAATTTAAAATACATATTCCATTATAACTATTGTTACTAAGAGTTACGCAATCATTATTTTTCTTGTTTATACATACAAGATAAAATTCTACATCTTTATCAAAATAATAAAAAAATAAATAAACAAACAACTACACAAGTTTCATTTAGTCTTCATGAAATAAATAACTAAAAAAGAAAGAAAAGAAAGAAAAAAGAAAGAAATAAAAAAAGAAAAAAAGAAAAATTAAAATTGATTATGCCATTTATCACAAAGTTGAACTATTTCTTCATTATAACAGATCCACTATTTCTTTTATATAAACAAAAATCCAAATTTTTCGGAATTATATTATCATTATTATTATTTCAATTAATGATTAGTTTAATGGATCCAGTTCAAGGAATAAAATGGTTGTAAGTGATCCAGTTTTGTAGTTATTTATTTATTTAATTTTGATGAATTGAATTATAAATTAAAGGTGTCATTATTGTTTTAAAAGAAGAATCATTTGAAGGAATCTGTTCATAGTTGATAAAATGGTTCTGTATAGAACTAGTCATTGTTTTTGTTTATCCTGTTTTTCTTCAATCAATTCTCTTTTTCTTATACAATGTCATTAGTTTATTGATTTTATTGTAATCTGTATTGTTTTTATAGAATCACTGTCTAACTATAACTATGATTATTATATATATATATATATATATATATATATATATATATATATGAGTTCAAATTGGTTGTTTAATTCCTTTATATAAAACAATCTATGATTTATCATGTTTTAGATGCTTGATTTAAAATATTTATCTGATATAAATAAACTGATTATTTAAAGTTCATTTAATCTTAACTGATCAGTTAACATAGCTGAATCATTACTTACACATGTTACCGTCTTATGGAGGAGCATAAACCACTCATTAGCATTGTCTATCCAACTCTGTCTTGGGCAATCTTTTCCAGTTGTTATTCATCCTTTTCATATCTGCTTCTATTTTCCAACGTAATATGTTCTTCGGCCTTCCGCTTTTCTGTTTCCATTTAGGATTCCAAGTTAGCGCTTCCCTTGTGATGCAATTTGATGATTGCCTCAATGTGTGTCTTGTCCAGTTCCAACGTCTTTTCTTAATTTCTTCCTCAAATGGAACCTGCTTTGTTCTCTCCCATAGTAGGCTGTTCTTGATAGTATCCGGCCAACGGATATTGAGTATCTTACATGGATAACTGTTTATAAATACATATAGTTCCCGAAGTTTCAGCTCCTTACAGTAGAACTGCCTTGACTTTCATATTAAATATTCTGACTTTGACATTGGTTGACTGTTGCTTGAGTTTCATATGTTCTTCAAATGTAGGAGTGCTGTCTTTACTTTGCCAATCCTCACCTTTAAAATCTCAATCATACTCGTCGAGTTAATAAAATTATTTACCTTTATTTGTCAACAAGCAAAATTTTTAACCCGGGTAAAATAGTTATCAAATGTTTTTTCAAATTATTATCGTTTGTTGATAAGAAACCATTAACCACCTCATTGCAATCACTAGGAGATTTGAGTAGTCATCATAAGTTTATCTATGTCAAATTAATGCAGATAGATTTGATAACTTATAAATATAATGAATGATTCAGTCTTCAGATGATTTTATGAGTTTACTATTAGTGATAAAATCCTCTTTTAATCAGGTAAACTGTTTTAAATATTGATTTTTCAAGTACATGATAGCTAGACTATCGAATTTCAATTATGCATAATTTGCTTTCTTAACAAACTCATGATTACTTTTGACACTAATCGAATTATCTTTATTTTTCATGGAAATACAATTTTACAGGTTCTGTAGCATGTCTGTTTCTCTAATGATTGAACAGGACAAAAAATTGATATAACATTTCAGAAACGATTATATATTGGTTACTTCTATTTTAAGTGCTTTATTGTCCCTGTAAAATAATGAGTGGTATGATTCTGTTTTAAATAAATTTCATACATAGAATAAACCTATTTCGGTTGTTTACTAATGTTCATAGGTAATACATTTTGATGGTAGATCACTGATAAAGTTTTCGATCGATATTTTTGTTTAAAGTGTTTTCATTTGTAATAGCATACTAATGTATAACCATTTCAAAATTCATACATCAATATTTTGTATCAGAAACCAAAAAGACTAGACCAGTTGCATCATGATGTTTAATTTACTTACCTAGAAATCATCAAACTCATTATAAGTAAGGTAAACAAACTCGAAGAATAGTTTATTTGAGCAAAGACAATTATTTTGATGAATCAGTTAATCAACTGTAACCTGTAAGACTAATTTGTAATCAGTATGTTTTTGTTTTTTGGATTGCAATCTATGAGTTTAGTAAACATAAATTAAAATGCCCAAACAAGAATCGATACGAAGATTTGATCTTAAATGTTATGAAACACCCAATTTATTGTTCGTGGCACTTCTGCTTAGCCACTCTAGACACTTTTGACCTTCGCCATAACTGGTCTGTGTATTTTAAGCCAATTTAATTTGGTTTTCATTGAATCTCCAGTTAACTGACATCGCAGAAATGCATTAAAAGCTCTAGCTTTTTTCAATGTGTTAGTCAATTTTGTTCTATTACTCATCACTCAAGAGCTGTTACATAATCACACAATTATTTTTTTTCATGTAATTCAATATCAAACAAAGAAATACACCTCAAAATGTTATTTAAATTAGGCTTCCAAACTCTAGACATATTAACTAATACTACAGTGTGATAACTTCAACAGATTATGAATGCTAAGACGTACCATTAAGAAAATTACATCTTTATTTTATCGGTTTATTCATTTTTCTCAATACTGAAAATTCCTAGTTTCTCGTATTTTCCTTTCCACTTTTTAAATACACTTGACAGAGGAATATAGGATAATAGAAGAGTTAATCTGTGTGCTAGATTTTTCATATACACAAAAAACAAAAACATAAACCTGAAGCTAGTCATTCTGAGTTCAGTGATCGTACTGAAAATCAATATTCATTTTAAGCTTTTAGGTGGTTAAAGGTGGTCGACTGAAACTTTTAGATATGAGTTTCATGCTAGCTTCGGTTCGTTAATAAAGTGTACCACTAATCTCAATGGATTTAATGCCATCAGCGGAATTCGATCTCACATGATCTAATTCCTCAGTTTGAAATGTTACCATTGGGGTGTTTGGGCCTAAACTATCCACCAGTAGGACTGAAAAATTTACGATAATTGATCACTGAGAATTGACAAGTAACATGTTTGTTTATAAGTCGGAGTTCTAAGATCACCAAACACAATATGATTCTGTTTTAATTAACTTCCAAAAAACTTATTTATTTACCATTGGTAGATATGATACTAATTATCTCCTTAAGATTTGCATTCGACTTTATAAAAAATTCAGCTTTGTACTTGAAATTTTTCCTAATATGTTTGTTATCTAACTGGCTTATGGAAAAAATTGAAGATCGTTATGTTTTATTCTATGTGTAAAACTACTGAAAAGGTCTAAATTACCTAATTAATGTCAACGTTCGAACTTCATATCGATTTGTCATTTCTTGCCTTATATATTTATATTATCACAAATTTATGTCTAATAAAATCTACTTTATCGCATAATTTACATTTTATCATCTAATTAACGTCTATGGTGGTGTGGTCGTGGGTGTGTACTGCTGAAGAATCCCATACTAGGACGAAGTAGCTGTCAATTGCTTTATGGTATTCAGTGCTTGATTAATTACCATTACTCCATTATGTTAACTATGAAATTAACTAATGTTTGTTTACTGACAACCGGGTGTACTAATATAAGTTAAATCAAAGGTTTCGAAGCATAGTCTGCTTAAGAAATATGCACATCATATGCACTAACAGTGTCAGCAGAGATATGATAGTTAAAGAAATTTATAAAACTGAGAGTCTTACTACTAATTATGTGAATACCAATTTTATTATTACGTATCATTTGACATCGATTTTCCGTTTCTCGGACTTCGTCTCCATACTATATAAATCCCCGTAAATCAATCATGCAACTGTTTCTTCTAATTTTAGTGCCGCTTATTCATGTATGAAAACTATTATATCAATACGACAACAGTTTTAAAATAATTAATACTGACCTCGCTACTTTTCTGCTCAAGGTTTAGGCTTCTGTACTTCTGTACAGTTACAGTCTCTGTAGTGTATAGATTTTTGTTTCATGCTCTATTTTCACGACATTTTTTGGTCATGTAAATGTTTAAAAAAACAATTCTGATTGGACAACATGACTAGAATCGATTTGATACTCTATACTCCAGCTATTATATTTGCGTTTCACTCCATTTTAAAAAGTCATAACAAATATTATAAATATATAAATATATTTCTGTATTATAAACAGCTGAAAAAGTTAATTAAAATAAATTACCAGTATAAGGTTGTGGAGATTGTTGAGTTTAGATTGATATCATGAATAGATCAGCGTTGGATCACCATTGAAAACCTGGAAGAGCTGGACGGCCGTCTTGTCCTAATATGGGACTTCTCAGCCCTGCACAACCACGATCCCGCATGTGGGACTCGAACCCAGGACATTTGGTCTCGCGCCAACGCTTAACTGAGCCGGTATCCAACGGTGTTAATGCCTAGCTTCAACCAATCCATGATACTGCTCGACTGCCCACCATTGTCTTCAGTTAGTAATTATCTCACAACAGACACATACTAGGACAAAACGGCCATCCAGTGTTTCCAGGTTTTCAGTAGTGATCTAACATTGATCCATTTATGAAACCAATCTAAACTGAAGTAATTTAATTTATATTGTTCTTATTATACTAGTTTTTGTCCTTATTTATTCTCAAGATAAATAGACTCCATAATTTATTGAAATTTACCGAAATATTTAACAATTTAAAAAGTTGACAAATGCTGTTTATTTACTGATAATTTGATAAGTCTATAAACATAAAAGAATAAAAAATATTAAGTATTGCTTAAATCGAATGGATCTCTCAGCTTATGCTCAACTAGTTTTAATAAAATTTGATTCTAACCTTAACAGGTATTCACATTAAAATGACGTGATATTCGTGATGTATATTCTTGTCTATTTTACAGTAAATTGTGCATAAATCGAAAGCTAAAACCCACTGATATGGTGTCGATATCAATCTGTCTATTCGAAAAATAGCTCTTAGAACATAGGTATATTTTATTCTGATGGTCTTCCTTTTGGTTTGTCAAAAGCATTTGACTAGTTGGTTCTCAGCAAATATTTTATCATATTGATTAAAATTAATGAATAGCACACGATTTATTTATAAATCTTATATAATATTATAGATAGAGGCATTGATTAGTGACAGTGGATTCATAGTATTCTTCTAGCATCTTTAAATGGGTACT